GGGGATCGCTTCCCAGCTTAGACAAGCAGACCTCAGAGAATGGCCTTAACTTTATTTGTTCCACTTGACGGTCATAAAGAAATTATGCTCCCGGATTCACCATAAAGTCAGCAGCTTTTCTGACAACGCTGCTCTGCCTAACGCCCAAAACACTGCACTCTGGGGCCGCTCTTCACTTTTATGTGGCCCCATGCGTCCATATAGATATCATATAGTCTATTTGGAACTCAGGAAGACACTTCAATCCCGTAGGACGTGATTAGCACAGAAGTATTTAGATATTTAATTCCAACAAAATAACATTTGGTTTCAGTAGTTCAGGTGTGAGGATTTCAATCATTTCTTGTCCTATTTTTGAAAAGAAACGTTGTTTTGCAGGCGTTGAGTGTCCAATTAAAGACGCTGTATTAAAGCACTGCCTTGAGCGAAAGTGAAAGTGTTTCCTCCATATTCGGTTTTTCATTAAATTGTAAATGACCAGAGACATAGTTTGCATATTAGTCAGATATTCATGTTTTGCACTGAATAACTACTTCACCTAATCCTCAAATATATATTTGTATTTTTTTTCAACCTGCCATTTTTTTCATGATCATGTTATTCATGATTCATGACAACCCACCATCTATTTGTGAATCTGGGCTTTAGGAAACTTTGTGACTATGATTACATAAAAGCACAACTGGAGGCTAATGTACTACTGTCCCAAAAACTCCAGCAAAATATCCAACATGTCACTCTCCATATCAACATCCTCCAGCTGCTGTAAGCTTATAAATGTTATCTGAGATAATAAGTTGAGCAGTGATGTGTTTTTGTCTTTTCATGGTCATGCAGCAAATTGTGCTTTACCAATTTGGAAGTTTATGACAAAATGCAACAGTAGCAATGGAAGGACAGATATTAGATGCTCCAAATAAAAAGCCTCAGTACCCAGCAGCAGCAGCAGCAGCAGCAGCAGCAGCAGCACCAGAGCCCTCTTGATGCCACTCTCCCTTTATGAGCCAGATGATGTGAATAATAAGACTCGTTGCCTGTAAGGTTTCCACATTAGGTCACTGCAGAGGTTTTGACAGTCCACACAGGACCTGTGGCTGCGGTCTATATCCTTCTTGGTTGCACCTGTTTTTCACTGAGGTTGAACAGCCCCCGAAGCCACCCGGCTCAAACCAAAGAGCGGCGTGTGAGCACCTGGAATAGCTGTGTGATGAGTCACAGAGAAGAGAATCTACCTACGGGGTAGTTCAGCCCCTCACAGCCTACAAAACAAGTGTCTGTTTGTCAGATCACATTGTTTCAGGTCAGCTGCTTTTGGGCATGGGGGCAAATTCGAACACATTCTGGGGTTTCGTAAAAAAAAAAAAGTTCACCACTGACTACATGGCTTGGAGCAATATTACACTTTTTGTTTCGTAAATCTCTATCTACCGCATGTAGACTGGCAGCATATGGCACAAGACAACAAACTGTAGCCTAAGGAAATCCTTTTAATCCATGATGGCAAGCATCCCAGAATTCAAGGAGGTCGCCAAAGCAGATGTAATTGTAAGCTTAAAAAAAAATCTTATACATCTAGAACTCAAACCTGAGCGTCGCTGTAGGGATCATCCAATAGATAAAAAAAAAAAAACCCCAACCACAATCATCTTATTTCAGTTAGGGTGAGGACAGTGGATTAAATGAACATGAGTTACATTCAAACATATCACACACCTGGTTAAAGGAGTCACCGGCCCTCAAAGGGTCTGACAAGTGGGTGCAGATCAATATAGCTGGGATGTGTTAGATTTCATGATTGTTTGATGTCTGGACAGGTTGACAGGGAACAGGTTCAGGCCCGAATCAGAGCTGAGTCACCGCTCTCTCTCCTCCATTTAACATTTCCATAACATGAGATGCTCCTATCTGGATTAAATATCGTAGACGCTAGCGACGGCGAGTGATTCCTGTTCAGCTCTGTGGAAGCTGCGACATTTTGCATGACAGACTTTTTTTTTTTTGAGAAAAGACTTTATAGAATTTTTTTTTTTTTTTACAAAATGTCATGAAACTTTATTTTTCAAAAAGTGTCATTAAAAAATATGAAAATATCAAAATCATTCGGCATCACAGTTTCCACTGTTAATATACAATCGTCCCAGTCACGCTTACATTCAGTATACAAAAATATAAAAATGGAACTGTTGTTGAAAAATACATGTTATTGCTGAATAAATGAGGCACTTGAGATAAAAAAAATGGTATTGCTGTTCGTAGTGATGCAAACCTGCTTCTAAAGACTGTGCAAAAGTTATATTCATTTCTCCCTAAAAAACAAGTTTGCACTTCCTCCCTCACTACAGAATGGCTTAAGTATTCCTCTGGCTGTATTTGTACTACCATTTAAAAAAAGGCACTCTTTGGTATACTTGTTGTGATTTGTATAAGAGGAGCGTAGAGACACTGGAAAAGGCTGGAAAATAACATTGACAATATATAATAGTGCATGGGTAGCACAGGTAGGTGAGTACAAGTGTCGACAAAGGGGTCAGCCCTGATTGCAATCAGAGAAACAAGCACAGAGGTGTTTCCATGAAATTGACCAGTTGTAGGAATTTCTGTTTTTTTAAAGTCTGTCTTTGAGGTTTCCTCACAGTTCTCCACCACTTGACAACTGAAGAAGAATAAGCAACTGCTACAGTTTCTTCGTTTTTTTTTTTTTTTTTCCCGCTGGTGGAAAAAAGAATCCCAGTTCAATGTGCTACACAACAACCAGATTCCTCATGCTTGTGTAGAAGAGACATCCTGGAGAAAGTTTTGGAGCAGTTCTTGCACTGGTATTTCTTCACATCTGAATGGGTCTGTAGGTGAGCCCTGAGATTAGACCTGTCGGCGAACGCCCTGTTGCAGTGAGGGCAGGAGAAAGGCTTTTCCCCTGGAAAAATGACAAACAAAACACTGTCAGTGACTGTATACACAAATATGTCACAATAGCAGCAGCACGACCTGGTATATTTTTAGGCTGTCTATGAAAACTGATTTCTGATGACTATAATCGGCTAACGCTGAGTAATAGTGGCAATAGATTTGTCTGAATAAGCAATATTTTTGGATTTAGTGTGTCTGGAAAAGTCACCTGGAACTGCTGACTTTACAGGAAACTTGGAATGTAATTTTTTTAAGACCAGGCGCTTTCTACGGCTTTCCATTTTAAATTATTATTTTCAAACTATTAATGCAATTCAAATATGTTTTATTGGATTTTAAAAACGACTAAAGTGGCTCTCCCCAGTGCAGGAGCCTCCCATTGACTCCCCACAGTCACTCACCAGTGTGCGTCCTGATGTGTCCTTGGAGCAGCCAGGGTCTGGAGAAGGCTTTTCCACATATTTTGCAAACACAAGGCAAGGTGTGAGTCCTGATGTGCATTTTGAGAGCCCCGAGGCTCACGTACTCCTTCTCGCAGTATTTACAGCTAAAGGATTTCCTCGTTTGCGCGTCGCAGTGCAGCTGTTTGTGCTTGAGCAGTCCAGAGTACGTGGAGTAGGACTTGGCGCACAGACCACACTGGAACTTCTCTGCCTCAACACCGTGAGGGTCCGTCAGTTTGGGGAGCATCTGCTCGTCCTCATCACTCCTGGGGCTCTCGGAGCCGCTGTGGTCCTTGGATGAGGAGCTGTCGGACAGGGACGAGGGGTATCCAGAGATGGGGGACAGGTCACTGGGGAGCGGAGACAGCGGTAGGCTGCTGGTAGTCCATACTGTGATGGGGCTGTAGGCTGCCGGGCTCAGGATCTCCGGCTGGGGGATGACAGGCAGAGGAAGGCCCTTGTAGATGTGCGGTGTGAGGAAAACTGGAAAAATTAAACACAGCACTTAGTTTCTGACTTGGTGCGTCTTTACGCACGCTGTCATCGCTCTGGATGAAACGCGTAAAAAACAAGATAGACAACTTTACAAACATGTAAACTTAACTTAAAGTTTGTTTTTTTAAAGTTAACATTTTAACATGATTTCTAAAGTTTCCAAACTTTTCGCCATCAACTTTGAAAGTCGTTACCTGTTGGGCTTTCCAACTCACTATAGTTTGGCTTCTTGGCGGAGTTTATGTGCTTCTTGACCAGGAAGGATCGTGGCATCTTGGAAAACAAGTGGACAACTTTGGCAAAAGTGTGTTTTCTCTTCGGCAGATGCAGCGGTGAACGTCAGTGTGAGTGTGTGCGCACGGAAATCCTTATTGCTTAAGTCCAGTGCAGTGTCATGGTGCAGCGCGGCGCTCTTGAAAACAGTGCAGTGAGTAAGCTGTAAAGAGCTGTAAATACTCCCCCATCAGGTGCATGGGAGGAGCCCCCTCACCCTCATTTACATGCACTGGGACCTCAAACCAATTAAAATCTCCCTTTGCCACGGAGCTTTTCAGACGCGCTCCCAGCCTATAGGAACGCACAGCCTCCCCCGGGCCTGGGTCAGCAGTCAGACAGGTGCTCGGTGCCACATGAGAGGGTTTGAACGCTGCCAAGTGAACATGGCACGGTGCAGATGGCTTTGGTTGCCTCCCAAAGTGGTGTTTAACAACAGCAGAGCACATTTCCCCTAAAGCAGCCAGGATGTTCATTGCTTGTGTTAAAAAAACCAAAAAAAAAAAAAAAAACCCCAAAACATTGTCCTGCAATCACGGAAATCACACCAATTACAAACAAACAAACAAACAAACAAACAAAAAAACAAGGCAGTAAAAGGTTTAGAAATAGCTCAATACGTTTATTGCTTTTGTTAAATTCACATGCTTTGCATTTTTATTACACATTTTACTGCGATATTTTATTTAAATTTAGAGTCATTCAAGCACATCAATTTTTTAAATGTTTGTATTCATTACTTTTCTTTTAAAGAAAACGTTCTTTTTCCAAACGTTAAGCCATTAACAGCAAGTTTCCCAAACTTTCCTGCAGCGCCCCCTTTTGTAGAGAGCAAAACTTTCCCCCATCTACACACATTCACAGCTATTCATTCAAATCCCATCTGAGATACACTCAAAACAAGGAAATTAAAGACAATTCAGCGTAATTTCTCCACCAATAAAAATCTAAAAATCTAAATGAAATTGCCTGGCCATGTGCCCTAAGGTAAGAGATCCTCACCCTATAGGGAGAGCCCCCAATTTGGGAATATTTAGTGTAATAAGAAAATGTCTGCGGCTGCAAAAAAGATTTTAAATGATCCTTTTCATATTGGCATCAAAACTACTGTAGGGCTCAAATAGTTTTTTAATACCGAAAAACAAAAAACCCAATATTTTATCTGGCTTTTTAATATTTTTAATTATAATAGTCGATGCTCTCTTAAGTCATAAATCTATAAACATAATATACTTTGACTAAATAAAATATGAGTAATATCCTTTGACATTCATGTTTGGCTGTTGTTTCTCAGTAAAAGTCCTATAAACCATGCGGACGGCTGCTTGTGTGTATCCGTGGGATATTTCCTCTAACGTAACAAAAAAAAAATATTACTACAGTATAGTGTCAACCCTGGCCAGTCAAAGGTCACGTTTACAATATTAAATATTTACATTTTTGAAAGATATATAATGAGGATGTCTCCTATATTCACATGGGGAAAAACCCAGAAACGCCTTTGTCGTCCTTTTATTATTTATCTATTCCGTTATTTCTTTTTCATGCCTTTCTTCCATCTGTTTCATCTCTCTGCCATAGCACACATTTCATTTTACGGTGCAATTTCTTTGCCATGTTACACTGACGCAATGACAAACTATAGAAAACAAACTACAAACTGTGAAATGCTGTGCGGCATCTGACAGGATACTGAATCCTCTGCTGTATCCAAAGAGTCAAAGTTGCAGTTTTGAGATAGATCGTTGTACTCAACAGCTCTGTATGAATAAGTGCAGTCAATTTTAAGCAGTTGAAGCCGTAGTATTTGGATCAAAAGGGGATTTGTCCTGTCTTCAGCCTGGTTTGTGTTGGTTCTGATTCTGTTTGCTGCTGTTCCTTTGTCTATGCCTCTGCCTATATATTCAAGTATAAATAATAATAATAACAAAAAAACAAACTAACATTGTAATTCCAGTCGTCACAGCGTGTGTATAATGTTCATGATGAGTGTTGTGTTATAAGCCTCTGGAGGCTTGATTATCCTTGGTGTGTGCATTGCATATTTGAGAAGCCCCCCCACTGTCAGCAGCAACAGCTCCACTAATAATGATGGGGTACCTGGGCGGGGGAGGAGATGAAAGATTTCTTCTATTTTACACTCTCACAGCTACACTGCAACATCTTCTGAAGTAACAAAGCTGTGGTTCCCTGGTCCCTGATGAAGGCAGCACCTGGACCAAACTGAATTGTCATACTGTGTCTCACCCCGAAGGACGGCTGTCCCTAACGTGGGTGTGGAGAAAGCCTCAATTTTCCTTGCCAATAATGCAATAAGGCATCCCTTCTTGAAATGTACATCTAAGTGTAGTTTCTCCCAAGGTCAGACTTGATGTAATCAAATTTCCCTCAGCCTCAGTTCCTACTCAACTGGACATGGAGGCACAAACTGAGCAGTCTACGCCCCCTTGTGTTCACAACTCAGTCTGAGTAAAAGAGTGACAAGGCAGAGGAACAAGGAAACACAAAGGCTTAGTTATGGGTGTATTGGAAAGCGGCTCCTGGAGCAGTTTGATTGGCTGGGTCAGCAGATATGAAAAGATCCCTGTGTCTGGGCCAGGCCTTAAGTTAATTGTGAACAGCTTATCTCATCTCCTGAACATAATTGCAGATCATGAATAGTTTCCCTTTGTGCCTGCTCAGATGAAAAAGGCAGAGGAAGGTTATCTGTGAATAATTACTCCAGGCTTCTGTCACATATAAAGTACTCTGTATGGAAGGTCTGGTGAAGAATCACGACGCGACGGTGGTGATGTATTAGAAAACATCTGGCACTATATATGATAATTGTATTTTGAATTAAAACTGTATCCTGAGGTAAACACATACATGAAGGTGAAGGGCGTCACTACATGTCCAGGTGTTTTTGTACTTCAGTATTTATTCTTGCCATGGTACGGAAGATGGTGACATCATAATAAACACAAACAGTATTTGTGCATACATATTTTGTAATTATATTTACATTTTACACATTTTATATTTTACACAATTTGCTCTAATCACACAAACTCCTGATGCAACACTAATTTATCATTGTTTATGAGATATTTATTTTGTTCACTTTAATGTACATTACATAAATTGTACGTTAATGTATTTAGCCTGCTGTTTTATTCTTCTTCTAAAATATTGATATTTATACATTTTTGTCTTGTTCAAAATATTGATATTTATACATTTTTGTCATTTTTGTCTCTTGTTATCACCTCCGGTGCACAACAAACTCATGATGCACTGCAAAATGAAGTGTCATGTGCCTGAACGGTTATTATATTTGCACATTAAAATAATTTAGTTCTACTCTCCACTCTGACAAACCTGTGAATGTGTTTCAGTAAATGTTAATGAAGGAGGTGCAATAGATCAGAGTGTTGTATCAAAAATTCTGAAAAACAGAAGCAGGAGTTTATGGGCTTGAAAATTAATTAACCGAGATGAAGCCATGTGTGCCGGGCCTCTCCACTGTTTCTTGACAGCAGAGTGTAAGAGCAGAGAAGATGTGCTCAACTAAATAATGTACCAGTGTCTGACTCTTGGGTCAACAACAGTACAAAGAAATGCCACTTGTCTCTCTGCAGGGGCAGCAGTGGCATGATGTGCAGCTGGTATTCATGAGGCGGTCTGGGCCTCTGCTGCTTACTGTACTCCACATTTGCAGCTCCATGTCCTGTGGCGCTTTAACTTATACATCATTCACCATCCTGAACTTGTCATAATATCATAGGATTGACCAGTCATGGACAAGAGTTCTACTCCGGGTTCCACAGGTCTGTCCTTAGAATAAGAGCTGTGAATATGAGTGGGTGGAATTTGTGGCGTACTTTTCAAATTCAGTCTTTTTTCGTTTTTTAAGATAAATCTTTTTCTTTTTTTTCTTTCTGTTTTTATCAAAGCTTTCACAACATTGTATTTGACTTAGTTGTTAAAATGTGTCTCTGGTTTCCAGTGGTTACCCCTGGGCGCATATATATTTGAGAATAATTGTATTTAGATCTCTAAATCACAGACATTTATTCACCAACACGGGTAAACAGTTTGCATTTATATATATTCTGCCTTCATCTCATTCTACCCGGTACCTTCTTCACTGTCAGTCCAACTGTCTCCACGTCCTCTGTCACTGTCTCCTTGTCTCTGGTTCAAGAGTCAACATCATTTAACCTGTGTCTTCTCCCAGCACATGAGAGCAGCATTTCAACCTTACGCCTCCATCTCATCCTCCAATCTGCCTGACTGTTTCTGTCAGCTGTAATGGAACCATTTCTAATCTTGTCCATTCTCCTCACTCTCAGTGACAATCTCAGCATCCTTTTCTGCTGCACCTCTGGTTTGGCCTCCTGTGCAGAAGCATCAAGGTCCTCCAAACATTCACCTCACTTGTAACTTTCATTATCTTTTTTTCACCCCAAGGTTTCTGATCACCAACACTTTCACATTGCATACTTACTTACATACACAACGTCCTTACTTTTATTTTTCTTACACATTTTTACTGACGTCTTCATTCCTCTTCACAGACCTTCAACTCTTTACAATCATCAGTGACTCCTTTCTGTCTCTCCTCTGTCTCTGTCAATGGACATATCTCGATGTATTCCATTTCTTTGGTCTAATTCACCAGCCAATGACTGACTGACTGACTGACTGACTGACTGACTGACTGACTGACTGACTGACTGACTGCAGCCCTCACCGTTTACTATCCTCTAACCGTCTTCACATACTTGTTTGATGCTCTTGACTTTCGCATTACAAACACAACAACACATCCTGTCAAGGCACCTCTCTCTCTCTCTCTCTCTCTCTCTCTATATATATATATATGTATATATATATAAGTATTAGTATATTATATACTGTGTATAGTATTAGTAATAGGCCATAAGGAAATTGTCACTGTCTATGGCTCAGTTAATTTATTTAAACATGGTGTGAATGGGTTTATGATAGTAATAATCCAGATGATGTTGGATTATTATATCAAATACAGATGATGTCCAACTGAGAATATTAAATGATATTGTAAATTGTGCGATGATTTGTCATTTATTAAATTGCTTGTGAAAGTATTGATAGTGCATGTTTTTATGCACGTTAGTTACATTTATCGTTCTAATTAAATTGCGTTTCTCATTTCCATTTACTGAGATAAACAGAATACATTATCGGAACTTCTAATGGCTAGATGATCCCTGGGGGAAAAAACCTCTGTATGTATTATTGTATTATTTCAGTGTTTGATTTCAGGTGTGACTCAGTCACCTGGATCATTA